CCCCGCCCCCACCGCTCGGACGGCCCGAGTCGCGCCCTCCCACCCCGCGCCTCCGAACTTGCTCTAACTTCCTCGGCCGAGCCGGGCCGAGCCGCTGCCGCCGCCGCCGCCGCCGCAGTCTCTGCCGCCGTCTCTGCCGCGCCCGGGTGAGTGGAGCGCGGAGCCCCCGCTGGAACGTCGGGCCCTACCCCCCTCATTGTCTGAGGCCGACCCCCCCCAGCACCCTCTGGGGACTAGGACTGCTCCCCAGGTTCGGGCTCGGCCCCTCCGGCTTCCTCGCCTTTGCCCCGGAGGCGGCCCCGCGGGCGGCGCTGGCTTTGTCTGTGTCCAGATCGCTCGCGAGGGGCTGGAGGCCTTGGCCCGGACCCCGCTGAGCCGAACTCTGGCGCCGGGCGGAGTGGGAGCCGCCGTGGGCGACCAGCCTGGCGCTGGGGGTTCTGTCGCCCTCGCCCTGCCCGCGTCCCCGGACGGGTGCGTGCCGGGTCCGCGCGGGGGTGGGAGAGCTCGGGGAGAGAGGGGCCGGACTGCCGCCGCCGCCGCCTGTAGGGGCTCTGCCCCCTGCCCCCGACAGCGAACCCAGGGAGGGGCACTCTTTTCGGCTCGGCCAGGGACCCTCGGCCCCCCAGAGCTCCGGCCAGAGGTAGAGGGTGGTGCAGACTTGGGAGGTCCCTCCCCTCCCCCGCCCCAGGGTGGGTGTGCACCGAGTGGCTCACCCTGGCGGTGCGCCCCACTCTGCCCTGCACGGATTTGGGGTGGCCCGAGTTTGAGTAGGTGGTGACCCAGCTTCTTCGTGCTGATCGTTTGAGGTTGTGCTTGGGAGCAAAGCTCGACTCCTGACCTAACTGGAGCTTCGGTGGAGTTGGGTCTGTGGTTACGGAGTTGGCTAGTCTCGCGCCGCTCCTCTTGCTGGGGAGGGGTGGTGGTGCGGGTGGGTAGGAAGTGTGTGTGCGTGGAGGGGTGGTGGTGCCAGTGGGTAGGAAGTGTGTGTGTGTGTGTGTGTGTGTGTGTGTGTGTGTGTAGGGACTTCAGTCCTGGGACCTCCGAGACACGTGTGGAGTTGCTAGAAGCGGTCCTTGCTGTGGGGAGTCTGGGGAAAGGCGTGGGCCCTGGTACTGGCCTGGCCAATGGCTGCCCGCTGTGATGAGTGCCCTCAGTGGCTGTCCCGCGGTGCTGGTGACTGGGGGCATCAGGGCGTTTTGGGTCGTGAGTGCAGGGCGTTACACAGGAGCCTCTGCTGGTGTGCTCTCTCCAGTGGTCTGCTCTCTAGAGGTCTTCCTACCGGGATAGGGGTTGCTTGGGCTGATAGGAGTGGGTGTAGCTGCCTGCCAAATCCTCAAAAGTAGCCTTCCTCCTACCCTTTGACCTTATGGGGGAAGTTAATGCCTGCTGAGTGCTTGGGCCACCCTTCCCTATTTGTGTCTAGGCTATCAGAGCACTCCCAGCACCGCTATATCCCTTCTACTTTCAACTAGCCCTGGGGTTGGCAGAGGCACCCTTCCTTCCAGGGATCCTCCTGGGCCCTGATGCATCCTCTTCAGTCTTGGCCCCATAGGCCCTTCTAACTCCTCTCTCAGCTGTCTCCAAACTTTGTCCCAGTCTGAGGATCCCTAGTGTCTGGGAGACAGGCCACCAGAGGGATTTTTCCCTCCCCCCTTCCTGCATCATCCTTTGTTGCATCCCACCTTCAGCTGGAGAATTTCTCCATCTCTCCATCTCTGCATTTTCAAACTGCACTGCTTGGAACATCAAATGTGACCTTCAAGTCATTTAACAAAGCATGATTGAGAGTCTGTGGGATACCAGAGGTGCCAGGTGCTGTTTGCAGGCACTGTTCTAGGCTCACGACTCCCTGACTGGCCCGTAGGCCCTGTGTGGTCTTAGAGCCCAGGCTGGACATAGGTAGTAGGTGCTCTCTGGTGTTTTATTGCTCTGCGCTTGATCTCAGCTTAAGTAGCATCATTCAGACAAGCAGGACTCCAAAGCGATTGGTGTTTCTGGAGGTGGCTGCCTTGAGGAAGAAAAGGCATGAAGGAGAAGGGCCTTCAGAGAGTTGGCTGCCCAGGAAAGTTTTCCTCCTTTACCAGCTGGGCAGCTGTCCTAATCTCTGAGGGCAGGTGAGGGTGCCTCCCTTCCCATGTTTGAGAATGGGAGGAAAATCTCATGCCCTGTGTAGGAGGGGAGGGGGCCCTGCCCTGTAGGTCATGGTGATAGTGGAGGCCAGGGAGTTCTGGAAGCCCTGGGTTCTGGAGACATTTCCTGAGGCCTCCCTTGGGTCACTGTGCGCTCAGGGATTTGATGGGTTTTCAGTTTGGCTGAGCCTACAGAGTATCATTGTGCCAGTCCTGGGCAACCTGGCTGGAGTTAACACCTAGTGGAGGTTATGGACAAGTTTACAGCAGCTTTGTGGAAGGTTTAAGAGTGTTGTAACAGTTTATTGAGACGTACTCTTTATGGACGCATACATCAAGCGCGATCCTAGAAGCTTTATTCGCATTAACTCATTTAACCCTTGAACCGACATAGTATGATAGATAATGTATCCGTCCCGTATGACAGAGGAGGACACTATTCTAGAGAGGTCACAGAGTAACTTGGTCCAGGTGTCAATGTGAGCCGCTCTCGTCATTTCAAATTTAGACAGAGCCTTTGTATAAAAGGTGTTTAGGACACTGCACAAGGCTGGCCCACAGTGGAGCTGGTAGGTCCTTCAGTGCAGGATCCTTTGATCCCCTGCTTCTGAGAGCATCTCATCTGTCTGGGCACGCAGCCGGCATCCCTGGCCCCCTGTTGAGGGACTGGTGATGAAGCTTGTTTCCCTTGGGCCAGGGACTGGGAAGCCCAGCACTTCCATGCAGAGAAGATTGGGGAGTGAGTCATGGCCTCTATCTGTCTAGATAGATCAGGGTTTGCTGTGGTAACAATCCCCAAATCTCAGAGGCTTAAAGCAGCAGAAATTTGTTTATTGCTCATACCATATCCATTGCATATCTGCTTTCTGTTGTTCTCACTGCAAACCCATGCTGATTAATTGGAACATTCCCGGACACTTGGACAGAGGGACAGAGAGAGGGATCAGTCTCACCCTGGCTCTTAAGGCTCCCACTCAGAAGCGGCATTTCACTGGCCGAAGAGCCACGTGGCCCTCCTGACACCCTCCTGAGGAAGAGGATTGGGGACATTTGGTCAATAGCACTGAATGCCTCCCATCTGCCTGCCACTGTGTCCTGCCTGTGACTTCTTCCCAAGGCCTGGGTCTGAGTGTCACGTTTCTGTGTCACCAGAAACATGAATCATGAATTGAAGAAACACTGTTGAGGCTAAAGATGAATTGGGGTGCCACATTTGAAGGGCAGAGAGAGGGTGAACGAGACCGTGGGTTTGGGTGGTAGCAGGTAGTCTGCAGAGGCAGCCTGCTCTCTGACCCTGGGCAAGTTACTTGAGTTCCTCGGGTCTTCTTTTGCTCATTCATTCATTCATTCATTCGTGGGCCCAAGGACTTGTGGTGAGTCCCAGGCTGTGGAGGCTTACTCAGCACATGTTCAGCTCCTGCCCCAGTGCTGAGGGCTGTGCACTGGGATTATGATCCCTGTTTCTGTTGCGGGGTCCTGGTGGCCTTTAAAGAGGGATGTTAATGCCGGTGGGGTGGGAAGTGGGCTCCTGCCCCCCATCACTGCCCTGGCACGTCAGCCCTGATGTTCTGGACTCCCCCTTGCTTTACCTGTATGTGGCTGGTAGGGGCAGCCACCTTTTCTAGAAGGGGGAGCAGGTAGAGGTACCCCTATAGGCCTTGCCCTTCCTCTTCCATTTCGGAGACTCTCGGGCTGAGCTTGTAGGCCTGTAGGAAAGGTAGCAAGGTCCTCAAAAGCTGGAGAACAAGCTTGATTGAGTGTGGGGCTGGGATGGTTGTCTGGCCTGTAGAAGGGGGGAGAACCCCTCTGTTAATTGCATTTTTCCACTTGAGCCCCCCCTTGTGGCATGTTAAAGAGCCAGCCATGCTATGGAACTTGGCTTTTGTGCTTTGTCACCTGCTTGGTCTCTGGTGACTTCCAGAAGGGCCAGGAAACACTATTGGAGGTGATGAGACTCCAGGTGCTTCTGTCCTGGTTTAACGTACTTCTTAGTCCTAATTCCTCCTTTTTCGGGGACTTTCTGCTTTCCCATCTGGAATAGAGGGAGAGATCGTGGGGGTTTACAGCAGTGGCCTCACTCTTGGCTGGTCATCAGAGTTCCTGGGGTACTGTGTAGACTAGTGCTTTGTGAATCTTTGGCCTAGATGGATGCCAGTGTTCCTGGTTTGTCTTACCTTCCGTTATAGCAGTGTCCTCTCCGAATCAGTGTGGAGTATTCATAATGTCCATGTCCATGTCCATTTTCTACCTAACAGCATATTTTTTGGTTCAGACAAGGGCAGGTACGTGTGTTGGAACAGCACAGACCCTGGCTGGGTGGTGGAAAGTGTTCAGTGCCTCTGTCAGGCATGAAGACAAATAACATTGTCCGGCTTGTAGGGTGGACAGTGGGGGAGGCCAGCTTTCAGGTTGTGTCTCCTTTCTAGCCTGAGTGACCTGGACAAGGCTTTGATTTTTTTTTTTCCCCCCTCCTGGACTTGATTTTCTCATCTGTAATAAGAGAAGAATCTGCCCTTCCTGTCTCTCATGGGGTCACTGTGAAACGCAGGTACACACTTCACGTCCGAGAAGCAGGAGCTGAGCCCTGGAGTTAGGCCTGACGCTCTGGTTTGGGACTGCCGCCATCACATTGACAGTTCTCAGCGAAGTGTTCACCGGCAGCTGATTCTGGGAACCCCACTTTCTCCACTCCTGGGCTTGGTGGGGTGGGGTGGGGCTGGCCCAGGCTCTGCTGTGCGGCAGTTTTTCTCTTGGAGGCCTGGTCAGCTGAGCTTCAGTGGGCCTGGGCAGGGTGGGGTTAAACCCTTCACTTCTCAAGGTCTGTTCTGCCTCCCTTGCTGAGCAGCCAGGGAGAAGGCTTAGAGTCCTGGTGTCCATCAGCGGGATAACGGGAGGGACTGGCTCCTCTCTTGCTGGACTCTGCCAGCTGCACTGTGGGGCCCAGAGCCATGGCAGCTGGCTCTAAAGTGGCCTCTGGGATCCTGGATAAGAGGTGAGCCCCTGGTGCTCCCTGAGACTGTGTGTTCCCTGGAATTTGGGAGAGCCGAGGCTGGGTTTTCCTGCACGGCTAAGGTTTAGGGAGAGGCAGGCCGGGACAAGGGGCTGGGCAGGGCTGGAGCCTGAGGAGCGGTTTGAGGACCTCTCTGGGTTTTCCCTGATGACTCGTACCAGCTGCTGGGACCTGTGCTGAGCTACTCTGCAGGGCCTGGAGAGCTTTTAAAAAAGAGGCTTTGAGGAGTTCCTAGTCCTGACACCTAGGAGAGAGTTGCTCGCAGCTGCTGGAATTAAATGAGGGTCCCCTGAATCTCTTTCATCTACACCTGGAGGTCTGAGCCATGAGCCCGGGAGGGCCAAGGGCCACAGCGTGTCGCAGGACGCGCCGCCCCAAGGCAGGGTCTTGGGCTCCCAGCCTTAGAGGCCCTTCGGGGTGCCTGAGGTGAGCCGGGCTTACCAGAAAATGGCATGAAGGAAAAGAGCCACCTCATGTTCAGATTTGGGTCTCCTGAGGAGGGGTGACTGGGCCCCACACACCCACTGCAGCGGTTCACGCCACCGTGTGACTTCCAGCAGCAGGAGTGTCAGGATCTCCCGTCTGTGGCGCCCTTACTGATGCTCAGGACTCTCCTCAGCCTGTGCCTCTGGCCACTGTCACCAGCCGCTCTAGGGAGAGGCTCTGGTTGCCTGCTGAGTGGCTGTTGTCGTGAAGAGACCTCCCTCGTGTCTGGCCAGCCTGCAGATTGGTTGTCTTAGTTCAGCCCTTTACCCCGGGGCCAGGCAGATGGCTCTGTCCCTGGACCTCGGTGGGGGAGGCCAGCCCCAGCCCCAGACCAAGTGGTTCCCACATTTTGGGTCCAGGAGGACTTGGAGCTCCGTGTTGTTAAAGAAATTATTATTCAGACACTTGTTAAAGCAGTAAAGCCGACATTCTGTAGGGCTATTGCAATAGATAGAAGGACTTCTGCTCTGGGGTTTTGCAGTAGGGAAGAGAGATTGGGCTCAACCTCAAATGCAGCCTGGAAAAGGGGAGATTAATAGCCAAGGAGCAGAATGGAGGGGGTTGGTGGATGGAAAATCTCTCAGAGGGTAGGGTAATCCTTCGCTGACAGACCTCAGGATTCTGTCGAAGGTAGGCCAGGGTGATCCGCTGTTACCCGAGGGTTGTTGGAAGATGAGCTGCTGGTCAGACACGGAGGGTGAGGGATTCTGGCCAAATGGACTCAGCAGGATTCTTGCTGAAACTGGACTCTGCGAGGACGGAGATGGAAGCCCAAGGTCAGGCCTGGCTGAGCAGAGGGCTCCGAAGAGCCTGATTAAGTCTGGTCAAGGAGAGATGGTCTGTCAGG